TAATGGAGTTGTCAGATTGACTTTTAATTGATGTTTAGGGTTCCAAGAGTCGGGATTGAAACTTTAAGGAAAGATCTGGAAAATATATAAAAAGAAACAAATGGAAATTTGAGAACCAAACATAAAATAACGGAAATAAAAGTTTAGGGTGTGAGTTTAATAGACTAGATAGAGCTGAAGAGAGAATGAGTGAAGTGGAATGTCATCAGTAGAGAATACTCAGAATGAATCACAGAGACACGAAAAGAATAAGAAGTACAGAATAGAAGGTAAGATACAAAGGCAGTACATGTAATTCAAGTCCTAAATGGAGAGCAAAGAAGAGAGAGGATGGAAGGAATATTTGAAGACATACTAAGAATTTTCCAAAACTATGAAAACACTGTGCCACAGATTCAAGAAGCCCCACAAACTAAGAGCAAGGTAAATAAAATGAAAAATAATCTAGTTTAATTATCGTTAAACTGCTGAAAACCACAAACAGAAAATCCGAAATCAACTAGAGGAAAACTAGACTGCATCTGACTTCTCAACAGAAATAATGGAAGCTAGAAGACAGAATGGAATGAATGGTATCTTTAAAGTTCTAAAATAGAACCTAAAATTCTTTACCTAGTGAAATATCTGTCAAGATTAAAGGTAAAGTAGATCTTGTTTTCTGACAAAAATAAGAATGGCCTAGAGTAGGAGTTGAGGGGTCATCAGCCTTAGGTGGCATTTAAAGCTATTTAAATCTAAAGTAGAGAAGATCAGCTAAAGTGAGTAGAGAGAAACTCAAAGATCCAAGATTGAACCCTAAACACTCCAACATTTTGGTTTAACTTAAAAATTTTTTCATACAACAAGGGAAGGTAGGTTAAGTAAGAGGTTATGTAGCCCAGTCCTCTCCTTTTAGAAATAAACTGAAACCCAGCAATGTTACATAAATTGTCCAAGATCATATAACTTCATGTTAATAGATATGGGACACAACCTGCTCCTTCTAATTGTGTTCCTCTACCCCCATAGTCTCCTTTTTTTTGGTAACTGTAAAAATGATTTTGTTGCATTCTTACTGTATACCATGCTCTAAGCTTGGGCCTTTTAATAACATTATTTCCTTTAATATAAAAGTAATATACATTCATTCTAGAGTAGAATGTATAAGAACTTGGGCTCTAGAGTTAGACTGCCTGGATTCAGTTCCAATTCTGCTGGCTAGATGTATGACCTTGGATAAATTATTTAGCTGTTTTAAATCTCAATTTTCTAATCTCTGAATTAGGCTATTGTAAGGATTAGGTGTGATGATGCATAGAAACACAAAGAACAAAATAAATATCAAGCAATTCATTGACACTGAAATAACCTCTAGGATTATTTCTCCTCTGTGGGATTATTTCTCCTATGTCTCTGGAGACTTTGTTGAATTTCATTGTTCTTTGTTAATTTTTCAAACATTTTTAAAACTGTGGTAAAATACACATGAAATTTACCGTTTTAACCATTTCAGTGTACAATTTGGTGGCATTAAGTACATTCATGATTATTGTCAACCATCAGCACTGTCTAGTTCCAGAGCTTTTTTATTACCCCAAATGGAAACCCCATATCCATCACTTCCCATTCTTCCTCCTTCAGCCCCTGGCCACCACTAATAAGCTTTCTGTCTCTGTGGTTTTGTGTATTCTGGGTATTTCATATAAATGGAATCATACAGTATGTGACCTTTTGTCTGGCATCTTTCACTTTAGCATAATGTTTTTAAGGTTCATCCATGTTGTAGCATGTGTCAGTACTTTATTCCTCCTCCATTGTATGGATATACAATATTTTGTTTATGCATTCATTAGTTTAGAACATTTGAATTGTTTCCACCTTTTGACTACTATGATAGAGCTAGTATGAACATTCGTGTACAAGTTTTTGTTTGAACACCTACTTTCAGTTCTTTTGGATATATACCTAGGAGTGGAATTGCAGGATCACATGGTAATTCTATGTTTAACTCTTTGAGGAACCACCAAACTGTTTTTCACAGTAGCTGTACCATGTTATATTCCTACCAGCAATTCACAAGGGTCCCAATTTCTCCACATTCTTGCCAACACTTATTTTCCATTTTTTGTTTGTTTTTATAGCCATCCTTGTAGGTGTGAGTGGTATCTCATTGTGGTTTTGATTTGCATTTCCCTAATGAGCAATGACGGTTGAGCATATTTATATGTGAAAATGTCTGTTCAAGTCAATTTTTAATTGGGTTTTTTGTCTTTTTTAAGAGTTCTTTATACATTCTGCATACTTGAGCCTTATCAGATATATGATTTGCAAATATTTTCTCTCCCTTTATGGATTGTCTTTTCCCTCTCTTGATAGTGTCCTTTGATGTACAAAAATTTTTAACTTTAATGAAGTCTAATTTATCCATTTACTTATTGTTGTTGCTTATGCTTTTGATTTCACATGTAAAAAACCATCACCAAGTCCATGACTATTAAAGTTTACCCCTGTGTTTTCTTCTAAGAATTTTATGGTTTTGGCTTTTATATTTAGGTCTCTGATCCATTTTGAGTTAATATTTATATATGGTGTGAGATAGGGGTACAACTTCATTTTTTTGCATGTGGATATCCAGTTTTTCCAGCATTATTTGTTGAAGAAACTATTCTTTCCCTACTTAGTGGTCTGGGCACTTTGTCAAAAATCAGTCAACCATAGATGTTTGGGTTTATTTCTGGACTCTCAGTTCTATTACATTGATCTATATGTCTGTCCTTATACCAGTACCACACTGTTGTGATTTCTGAATTTCGTAGTAAGTTTTGAAATTTGGAAGTGTGAGTCTTCCAACTTTGTTCTTTTCAAAATTGTCTCAGCTATTTGGGGCCCCTTGCAATTCCATATGAATTTTAGGATCAGCTTTTCCATTTCTTCAAAAAAGCCATAGGGATTTAGTTAGGGATTGCATTCAATCTCTAGATCACTTTGTGTAGTATTGCTCTTTTAACAATATTAAGTCTTCCAACCCATGAATACAGGATGTCTTTCCATTTATTTAGGTCATCTTTAGTTTCTTTCAGCAATGTTTTATAGTTTTCAATGTGTAAGTCTTGCACCTCCTTGGTTAAATTTATTCCATAGTGTTTTATTTTCTTGATACTATTGTAAATGGAATTGTTTTCTTAATTTTGTTTTTTTTTTTTAATTTTGTTTTCTGATTGTTCATTGGTACTGCATAGAAATACAACTTTTTTGTGTAGATCATCTATCCCACAACTTTGCTGAAATTGCTTATTAGCTCTAATAGTTTCTGTGGATTCCTCTGGATTTTCTATATATAAGATCATGTTATATGCATTTTTAAAAAGACTTTTAGACCTAGTTATCACCTTTATACCACTGTTTTTCAAGTTGCAGGTCACAGCCTATTAATGGGTTGTGAAATCAATCAAATGTGTAAGTTTTGTGGAATTTTTGTGTGTAAAACATATACATGTGCATATGTTTGAGTCCTTATATAAAATATATTTCCTATTGTGAATTACAGTCAAAAAATTTATGACATATTTCACGTGTAATTGGAGTATAAAATTATGGGATTAGTTAGATAAAGGTGAAAGCGCTAGCAGTTCCTTTTCATTTCTTTGGAAATGGTAATTCTATATTGGAAGCTGTTTTCTGTGTACAAAAATAATTGAGCAAAAATATGCTTTCTGTTCATTGGTAGCTCTGTGAATAATAAACTTGCAGGATTTTTGCTTTTAATGCTTCCTGATGAATCAATTCTTAACCTGTTTTTAGCACTGTGGAGAAAGTTTCTTACTAAAATTCAAAATATTTTCTTGAGAATGTATTTTATTAAAGATAGTAATCTACTAAATTACATACGACACTTATTACAAATGGAAATAACAAAAAGCCACATTATGAAGGATATTACAATCTACAAAGATATCTTTTACTCTCCAATAGATAAAAATTATTGTAATATAATAAATGTATATTTTCAGTAATTGTATTAATGTCAAATTTACTGAATATAGTAGAGAATTAAAGGAGAACTTACAGCTTTTTAATGCAAATAAAATACCTTAAAACATAACTATTGTACATGGATACAAAATTATTATTTTATAAAAAGATAAAATTATTCCTGTGCATTAGATTCTTGATAGGATGTCTTTCCAGTCTAATAAATTAAATGGTGGTGTTTTTTCTAAGTTGTTCTGCGTGATGTTAAATTTAAATTGCATCTTTTCCCCACAAGTAGTTTTGTGGGGATTATGGGCTATGTATAGTAAAGGACATTAAGACTGGAGGTATCATCAGTGGGGTCATGTTGCCCCCTGCCCTCTTTCCTCCACTCTCCATCTACTGATGAGGCATCTTCCCAGTGGTCCACATGTCTTCCTGACATTCTTTTTACTACATTACACAATTCAACATGTACTGAAATGAGCCTGGGCTTCAGAATCCAATAGGACTGTGTTGACTTCTCCTTATCCCTCATGTCAACTTTATGACTGTGGACAAGTCATTTGACTGCTCTTAGCCTCAATTTCCTTTGCTATAAAATGAGGATAATTCTGGGTTACATTGAAGAGTAAATGATATTATGCTGTTTGTATGACATGTTAAATATAGTGCCTGGCATGATAAATACTCAATAAATGGTAGCTATTAAAATACCTGAGTTATGATCAGTACTCAATAAGTGGTAGTTCTCTTTCTGCTCCCAACCAAAAGTTTTACGTATATCCTATCATTTTCAAATAGAAGCTACCCACTTCTAGTAAGCTCGTCTGTGCTGTTGGGTATTTCTTAGTGGACCACTTTTTCCGTATAATTTTGTGAACTTTACTGATGGTCTTGTGATGCATCATTAAGCTTTGGATGATGGAAATTGCAGAGTTGCCCTGCTGTCTGATATGAAAGTACACATATACTAGGTGTGTCTGTTTTTAAGGTGCAAAAAACCCACAAATAATAAACAAGCACCATTATTTTATTTTCTTCTGTAGTTATGTGCTGCTCATCTCCCAACTGAATCAGAGGCACCGAATCATTATCAGGCAGTATGTCGTGCACTGTTTGCAGAAACAATGGAGCTGCGTACATTTCTGACTAAAATTAAGAGTGCAAAGGAGGTAAGTACTCCTGCTTCCATATTTATTGGCATTGTGAAAGATAAACCTGAGTTTACAACACTGTCCATCATGTTATTTAAAGTATTTATTACCATCCTTCTGATGAGTGCTGAAAATCATTCAGGAAAGAAGCAAGTTAGGCAAAATTAAATCTATTCTTTAAAATGTAAGTTTGTAAATCCATTTTATAAAACAAAAAGTTTCATAAAGCTTCCTTATAAATTAGAAATAAATAATACTGAATTGGTTTAAAAAATTTCCCATGTGACTTGCTTTTCACCCTCTTTCTGCCACTCTTTTGTCCATTTTAAAACATATTAGTACCTCTTTCAGGAAGGGATAAGGACTCAGGAAGGAGGCTACACATCTGATAATTTAATTATTTTATAGCGGATTTGATTAAATATTTAAAGGAGGAGATGTGAATTAATATTCGGATAATCCAAAATCTCATTTTAGCTATTTTATTTAATTATTAGTTGTCATTGTCTATGAGTTAAAAATGTTGTATGTAGAGTCCAAAGAGAATCATTCTAATTTATTTATATGAATTGCCATATTTTACACTACACAGATGGTTGTGAAGATTCATGAGATCTATATAAAGCAGTACAGCATCTGGCACACAGTAAGAGCTCAGTACATGATAGTTAGTGGGTATCATTTCTTTTATGACTACAGTACAGAGTTTATCTGAAACACTAGTTTAAAACTTAGGATAACACACAGTTTGGGGAGGGACACATGTAGGATGTGTAAGGGAGGAAGGAAAATACTAACCTATATTAACCAAATAAGACTAATTAGCTCTGGTAATAAGTAAGTGACAGATGTCTCAGCCAGATCACCCTTAATAAATCACCTTAAGTAAATCCATTTTATATGTATGAATAAGAGCTCTAAGCATTCCTCTTCAGTCTAGCCAGGATACTTCTTATAGTCTGTCTTTTTATGTTAGACCAGTGAAAAGCTATGTCTGTTTTTTTTAGGATTTTATAGAATTCGACCCAAGAGGAAAATCCTCAATAGGGTGGAAAAGGGTGAACTATATGTTGTTTGAAGAATAATTGTAAATACGTCGTGGACTAGCTTTTCCTTCTGGACAGAACCAGGGGATGTAGGATGTGATTAAAAGCTTCAGAGTAAACATTCGAAAGCATATCCTCAATTAAGATTTAATAAATAGTAGAAAATATTACTTTTTTTAGCTATTTTTTAAAAAATTTTTATTGATGTCCTAATAGTTTATAACATTGTGAGATTCCAGTTGTACGTTATTACTTGTCAGTCACCCTATAAATGTGCCCCTTTACCCCTTGTGCCCACCCCCACTCCTTTCCCCCTGGTAACCACCAAACTGTTCTCTCTGTCTGTGTGTTAGTTTATATTCCACATATGAGAGAGGTCATACAGTGTTTGTCTTTCTCTGCCTGGTTTGTTTCACTTAGCATAATACCCTCCAGGTCCATCCATGTTGTTGCAAATGGGACGATTTTGTCTTTTTTTATGGCTGAGTAGTATTGCATTGTATATTATATACGACATCTTCTTTATCCACTCATCTGTTGATGGACACTTGGGTTGCTTCCACGTCTTGGCTATAGTGAATAATGCTGTAATGAACATAGAGGCGCACAAGCCTCTTTGGATTGCTGATTTCAGATTTGTTGGGTAGATACCCAGAAGTGGGATAGCTGGATCATAAGGTATTTCTACTTTTAATTTTCTGAGGAATCTTCATACTGTTTTCCATAGTGGCTGCGCTAGTTTGCATTCCTGCCAGCAGTGAATGAGGGTTCCCTTTTCTTCACAGTCTCTCCAGCATTTATTTTTTGTCTTGGTGATTATAGCCATTCTCACGGGTGTAAGGTGATATCTTAGTGTAGTTTTGATTTGCATTTCGCTCATGATTAGTGATGTTGAATATCTTTTCATATGCCTGTTGGCCATCTGTATATCTTCCTTGGAAAAATGTCTGTTCATATCCTCTGCCTATTTTTTCATCGGGTTATTTGTTTTTTGTGGTTCAGATGTGTGAGTTCTTCTTTTTTTTTTTTTTTTGTGAGGAAGATCAGCCCTGAGCTAACATCCATGCCAATCCTCCTCTTTTTGCTGAGGAAGACCAGCTCTGAGCTAACATCTATTGCCAATCCTCCTCCTTTTTTCCCCCAAAACCCCAGTAGATAGTTGTATGTCATAGCTGCACATCCTTCTAGTTGCTGTATGTGGGACGCAGCCTCAACATGGCCGGAGAAGCGGTGCATTGGTGCACGCCCGGGATCCGAACCGGGGCCGCCAGTAGCGGAGCGCACGCACTTAACTGCTAAGCCATGGGGCCGGCCCTGAGTTCTTTATGTATTATGGAGATTAACCCCTTGTCGGATATATGGTTTGCAAATATTTTCTTCCAGCTGGTGGGTTGTCTTTTCCTTTTGATCCTGGTTTCGTTTGCCTTGCAGAAGCTCTTTAGTCTGATGAAGTCCCACTTGTTTATTTTTTCTTTTGTTTCCCTTGTCCGAGTAGACATGGAATTCGAGAAGATCTCTTTATGACCAATGACGAATAATGTGCTGCCTACATTTTCTTCCAGGGGTTTTATAGTTTTAGGTGTCACCTTCAGGTCTTTGATCCATTTTGAGTTAATTTTTGTGTATGGCAAAAGAAGATGTTCTACTTTCATTCTTTTGCAAGTGGCTGTCCAGTTTTCCCAGCACCGTTTATTGAAGAGACTTTCCTTTCTCCATTTTACGTTCTTTGCTCCTTTGTCGAAGATTAGATGCCCATAGATGTGAGGTTTTATTTCTGGATTTTCAGTTCTGTTCCATTGATCTGTGTGTTTTTGTACCAGTACCATACTGTTTTGATTACTATCGCTTTGTAGTATGTTTTGCAGTCAGGGATTGTGTTGCCTCCAGCTTTGTTCTTTTTTCTCAGGATTGCTTTAGCTATTCGGGGTCTTTTGTTGCCCCATGTGAATTTTAGGATTCTTTGTTCTATTTCTGTGAAGAATGTCATTGGGATTCTGATTGGGAATGCATTGAATCTGTAGATTGCTTTAGGTAGTATGGACATTTTAACTTTGTTTATCCTTCCAATCTACGTGCATGGGATATCTTTCCATTTCTTCATGTCATCATTGATTTCTTTCAATAATGTATTATAGTTTTCATTGTATAGGCCTTTCACCTCCTTGGTTAAATTTACTCCTAGATATTTTATTCTTTTTGTTGCAATTGTAAATGGGATTGTCTTCTTGAGTTCTCTTTCTGATAGTTCATCATTAGAGTATAGAAATGCAACTGATTTTTGTAAGTTGATTTTATACCCTGGAACTTTGCTGTAGTTGTTGATTATTTCTAATAGTTTTCTGATGGATTCTGTATGGTTTTCTATATATAAAATCATGTCATCTGCAAACAGTGAGAGTTTCACTTCTTCATTGCCTATTTGGATTCCTTTTATTCCTTTTTCTTGCCTAATTGCTCTGGCCAGAAGTTCCAGCACGATGTTGAATAACAATGGCGAGAGTGGGCACCCTTGTCTTGTTCCTGTTCTCAGAGGGATGGCTTTCAGTTTTTCCCCATTGAGTATGATGTTGGCTGTGGGTTTGTCATATATGGCCTTTATCATGTTGAGATACTTCCCTTCTATACCCATTTTGTTGAGAGTTTTTATCATAAATGGATGTTGGATGTTGTCTAATGCTTTCTCTACATCTATTGAGATGATCATGTGGTTTTTATTCCTCGTTTTGTTAATGTGGTGTATCACATTGATTGATTTGTGGATGTTGAACCATCCCTGTGTCCCTGGTATAAATCCCACTTGATCATGGTGTATGATCTTTCTAATGTATTGCTGTATTTGATTTGCCAATATTTTGTTGAGGATTTTTGCATCTATGTTCATCAGCAATATTGGCCTCTAATTCTCCTTCTTTGTATTGTCCTTGTCTGGCTTTGGTATCAGGGTGATGTTGGTCTCGTAGAATGTGTTGGGAAGTGTTCCATCTTTCTCTATTTTTTGAAATAGTTTGAGGAGGATAGGTATTACGTCTTCTTTGAATGTTTGGTATAATTCTCCAGAGAAGCCATCTGGTCCTGGACTTTTATTTTGGGGGAGGTTTTTGATTACTGTTTCAGTGTCTTTACTTGTAGTTGGTCTATTCAGGTTCTCTATTTCTTCTTGATTCAGTTTTGGGAGGTTGTCTGAATCTAAGAATTTTATCCATTTCTTCTAGATTGTTCAATTTGTTGGCATATAGTTTTTCATAGTATTCTCTTATAATCCTTTGTATTTCTCTGGTATCTGTTGTGATTTCTCCTCTTTCATTTCTAATTTTATTTGTGCCTTCTCTCTTTTTTTCTCAGTGAGTCTGGCTAAGGGTTTGTCAATTTTGTTTATCTTCTCAGAGAACCAGCTCTTTGTTTCATTGATCCTTTCTACTGTTTTTTGCTTTCAATTTCGTTTATTTCTGCTCTAATTTTTATTATTTCCCTCCTTCTGCTGACTTTAGGCTTTGTTTGTTCTTCTTTTTCTAATTCTGTTAGGTCTAGCTTAAGATTGCTTATTTGAGATTTTTCTTGTTTGTTAAGGTGGGCCTATATTGCTATGAATTTCCCTCTCAGGACTGCTTTTGCTGCATCCCATATGAGTTGGTATGGTGTATTTTCATTTAGAATATATTACTTTCTAAGGTTGTAATTATCTTCCCCAGCTTGTTAAGATTGAGATTGCCTTCCCCAGAGAAACAAGCATTACTTTTAGGGTGTAAGTACAGTCCTCTGGGGTTAGTAGAGTAAATTAAATGAGCTCTTAAAGTCCTTCTGACACAGACATTCTTAGGAACCATTTCTGAGCTTAAAGAACAGCATTAATAGGTTTTTTCCTACTCTACTCCAGTGAGCTTTAAAAAATTTTTTTGCTCTTAATTAAAATTTTGCTTTGCCAGATATGCAAACACATTCTCAGAAAGAGATTTAAACATTATCAAAGTTTAT